ATCCCTTATCTATACAGATTTAAAAAAATAAAATAAAATAGAAACCAATTCATAATTACTACTAGAAATCCATTATCTTTAAAAAGAAAAAATAAAATAAAATAGAAACCAATTCATAATTACTACTGAAAATCCATTATCTACTTTAAGAAGCTAATTTTTATCGGTCTAATTACTAATATTTTTACAAATATTATAAGCTAACCATACAAAAAAATATAATAATAATTTTGAAATGGTGTGTAATCAAATTTTTTTTATATTATCTTATACATAATAATTTTACATTGTTTGACCCCGAATCTTTAATTTATAATTATTAAGTATTGTTTATCTTCCTCTTTAATTTATAATTATTTTTTTTGCTTCCTCTTTTTAAATAGGATCAATAGTAGTTTTCACTTCGGTCATTGAGTGACTCAAACTCGAGGTCTATTTATAATATTGTTAATTTAATATTGTTTCCGTACATCGTACGGGGTATACACTAGTGAAGAGGCTTATGGAAGTTACAAAAAATATACTCACTTAAAAAAGATATTCACATTGAGTGTTCAGCATGCCAAATTCTGGGTCAACCCTGCCCTGGGCGACGGCCCAGGGCCCAGGCCAGGACACAACTCAAAAGGGGCCTCCAATTTTTATTTATATTGTTCAATTGTTGGGCCAATTTAGCCCAATTTTACATCTCAGTATATTAATTGCAAAGATTATAAGACAACTAATAAATCAATATATAGACTAGCCTTTATTGCGAGTCAACGAGGTGGCGCCTATCGGGTTCCCTTACCAGGATTTGACAACTTGATTTTTGAAGGGGAACCCAAAGTGGTATCGTCTTTTCCACAAACATTAATTGTCAAAAAATTAAATGCACAACAATTAGAGCATGTTTGTTTATGAAAATTTTTGGTTTTATTTAGATTTTTTAGTTTGGTTTAGTTAATTTTGAAAAAGTGTTATGGTTAGTTATTAGTGAGTATATTAAAATAATATTTAAAATAAAAAAAAAATAAAATTGATTTGATGTAATAGTAGGAGAGAGATGATTGAAGTGATGGTTAGTTAAAATAATGTGAGTGGATGAATAATGAATTAAGGTTGATGTGGTGTGTGTGAATGATTGATTGATATTATTAATTATATTAATAATATTATTGATAGTGGAGTTGAGTTAAAGTTGAGTTAAAAAAAATGGTTGAGTTAAAATGTAAATTTTTTTTGAAAATTTTTCATAAACAAACATGCTCTTAAGTTCACATAATTTTTTGAAAATTTTAAATGAGAACCTATCCTTATTTATATTCCTATTCGATTTTTCTTTTGGGTGTATCTCTAATTCTTTATAGTTTATGTATTATAAATTATAATCACTTTCATCCGAATCAATTTACAACTCATTGAATAAAATTCATTCAATTAAGTAACAAAGTGTAAAATAATGTGTTATTCAATAAAATTACACTAATATAAAGAAGAGTTAAATTTCTCCACAAAATTATAAGGATTTATATAAATGAAATATTCAACTTACACATAATTATATAATTTTTTTTGTAAATAATGGTTTTCGTACTTATGATTTAGGCCCATTTTAATGTACTTATATACTTATATAATTAGCTTATTAACTTATTGCATTGAAATAAATAAAATTAGAGGCATTATTTTTTTATTAATTCATCCAAAATTACTCAATACATGGCTTGATCATCTAATTTATTGATCAATTTTACAACAAATAAACAAAGTAATTATTAAAACCTCATAAATATCATCATATTGACCGAAAAAGGAGGGCATCATTTTTATGTTTGGCCCAGGACCTGAGAAACGCCAGGACCGGCTCTGGCCGAATTAAAATACATAATTGAACAAAATAATAAGTTTTTTTTTTTTAACAAAATAATAATTATTATTATTTTTTTTTTTTGGGAACACATGAATGACTAAAATATATCATTGTTAAAAAGAAAAGAAAACAACCAACAACATTTTCTCGGATTAGTTCATGCCACCCGCGCGGGTGGCGCCCGTTTCTTATATCAACGAATTAAAGGATAACATGTGGCAATACATTTGCTATTTACACACTTAATTTTGTTATAGGCAAAATCTAAATAAAAAACATCATTTAAAAACACTATTAAATTAACAAAAATCAAATAATTAATAAAAATGAAAATATGAGTAATCCACCAAAAGTTTCAGAACAAATAGAAGCACTTATAGAAATAGTAAAAAAGACCCAATTAGAAACATTTGAAAAATTAGACGAAATAAAAGAAATAATAAGAGAACTACAAAATTTAGTACAAAAAGAAAAAACACGGAAAAGAGTATTTAAGCCGATTCAGATAGAACCACCAACAAGTTCTAATGGATGATATAGATAGGTTAACTCAGTTATTAGAAAAATGCAATATTGAAGAAACTAGAATGGCAAAAATAGATGATGAGGATAAACAAGGAATAATTTATGGAATAGATAGTGAAGATGAAGATGAGCCAACATTTAATATGACTTATCAGAAACCTCATACAACACCGCCACTATCACCAAAACGACCTAGAACAAATAATAATGAAGCATCTACTTCACATAATAATTATGTAGAAAGTAGTTTCAGAGATTTTATATATAGAAATGATTATAGTTATCATCAAGAAAAAATAAAAAAAAATATCCCACCAGCATATTTAGAAAAAGAAAGAAATTTATCTAATGGGATATTAAATATAGATTGTGCAACTAATGCAGAAGATTTAATAGTTACTTGGACTAATCAATTAAAATTATTAGTTCAAACTAATGATTCAATGATAAATGGAATGACATTAATCGATTTTGTTAATTATATAAGATATAAAACATCTGGAGTATTATTTGATTATCTAGAAAATACTCAAATATTATTAAATCTTGAAGCCAATGGTTTGGAAACAGGAGCAGAATATAAAATAGGAGCCTTAAAAGAATTAGCAAAAGATTTGTTAAAAGAATTTTTAGGAATTACGGGACAAGAATCAAAAGAAACACAAAAGGATAAGGTAGTTAGATTTCTAACAAATATGAAGCTATGCAATATATGCTACATAGAAAATTTTTTCTGTCAAGTAAGAGAGAATTTTTATAAAATTAAAGATCGGTCAGGATTAATACAAATAATTGAGAGTAAACTTAAATATGAGATGAATAAATATATTCAGAAGAAAATTAGTGAAACAAAAGAAGAAAAAACTCTAGGAATTTTAGAAAAATATGCAAAAGAATATAGAGATGAACTTTGTATAAGGAAATTAGAACATCAAGAAATGAC